GTGCCTTGGCACGCACGCTGGCATCGGCGCAGCCTCGTTCGAGTCCAGATACACAGCGAGCAATCGTCGTTTGCCGCAAGTCTCCCAAACACACGCGGGCAGAGGCCAACCTGTCCAAGACTGGCAGAATTGCTGTGAAGTGCCCGTCTGTGTGCAATCTCTCCAGGTGCATGCCAACTGCATTCAGGTCTTCGAGGTCCGCCATTCCTTCAGTGCAGACAAACGCACACTGTGAGTGGAGACTGATGCATAGCAGTTATGTTTCCGCTTGACTGATTGAGTTAAGTGTCGCCCTTCAGACTTTTTTTTTCAAATACATTTGATGTGCACGTTATATTATACATGACTTGACATGCCATTACTTGACGTAAAACATTCTGAGTGGTTTACCACTCGGACAAACGTGGGCCAAGTGCCCATCTCCTGTTCTACAACTCTCAGTGGTGGAACTTCTACTGTCCTGTGGCAGGGGTAAGTCCACCCAGAGGACAACCACCCCAAAAGTAGAACTCGCTTTACTCACTTTATGGATCCCGGAGGGATTATGGGCTGTGTCAACCATCAACCAGGATTTGAACTTGCAAGCTTCTGACAGGCCAGCCGAGTGATATCAGATGCCTGGTGAGTGTCATAGGCGTCAGGTGAGTTGGTACCTGATGGCGTGAGGTTTGTGTTGAACGCTGTCAGGTGAGTGGCATAAGGTGTGGTGAGAGGTGAGGGTGAGGGGCCTGCCGAGTGGCATGAGGTGGGTTATGAAGGTGAGGGACATGTGAGCAGTGCCAGGTGAGTGGTTAGCATTTGGTGACCAACTGCTCGCTGCTTCAGAGATCCAGGGCCCAACACAAGACAATACAACAATACAGATGGTCCCGTTGAGGACGACGGGTGATAATTAGTATTAGACTTGGGACACCCATGAAGGCACACGAGAGGGTGGGTGGCCAGCACCACGCCCGGCCGCCTTTGTCTCCCCAGTGGCGGTGTTTACTCATTAGAGGCTGAGTCGACCTAGGGGAGGCCCAGGACCGGTTCAGATAATCGTCACCGGTATTGGCCGTGAGCTGCAACCGAACTCGGGTAGCCCAAGTTCGTAAGCGCAGCGCGCTCGCCGCAACACTAACACACACGCCATGCAACATGCGTGCACATCACTGTTCACTTCTCCACCCGCTTTACAAGGACACATCTAAACGCTATTTCATAACACCGGCAGAGCTAAGCAAGACAAGCGAATACCTTCCGCGTGATCTCGCAGTGCAGGCGCACACAGCAGCGCGTTTGGGGCACGAGAAATGCGCTCCGCTGGTGTGTCCAGGGCAGCCTCCTCCTCCTCCGCCTCCTTTCCTGTTCACCTCTCACCCTTCAGCCCCAGAGGCTGCTCGCTGATAACAAGCACAGAAGCACCGCAGCTTTGGCCACGAGGTGGTAGCAAACGCCACGTTTCTCGACGCCGCGACGCAAGTCCCCCAATGTTCACCCGTGGATGGGGCGAATCGGAGGGTTCCAGCATTTAGAATCAACGTCACGCGTGGGGCTGTTTGCCTGCTCATACATTTTTCGATTTAAAGATTTCGTGACTGCAGGGATTCATCTTCTTGGTTCTTTCGGTAAAGTCACGTAGAAGGGAAGTAATACAATAATAAAAATAAAACATAATAATTATTATTTTATTACTTCCCTTCTACGTGACTTTACCGAAAGAACCAAGAAGATGCTCATACATTAACACGATGATGATGGTGGTGGTCATGAGCCACTTCGTTAAGCTGTCATTTGTGATGTCCAGGTCGCTTCTGAGAAAATAACTATAGAGCTCAGTGGGCCTTACCTGTTGAAATACATAGTTTAGTTTCCTTCTACTTATTTATTTTAGTTATTTGCCAATAATTGTCACTCCTATCGTGTTTTTGTACTGTTTGTTGTTGTAACTTTTTAACTCGCCTCTACTGGACATCTGTGTGAAAGAGCTTCATAGCTCATCGGATTTCTCCAGGATAAAGATGCCGATTCCGATCCATGATGGCTCAGGCTAGGGAAACAAATGTGGTGAAGGAAATGAGTGCAGTGATTTATGTTTCATTGATTTACCTTGAGTCGAATACATGTATTAGTTTTACACAGGTCAATCAATAAATGTAGGATGACTTAATGATTGGGTTTACAATATGGTCCACGTCCTTAGGCCCTTTCCTCCTATTACCCCAACTTGGGTATGAAATCTAAATGTCGTTATATATCTCCAAGTTTATATCTGTAGTACAGTAAAACCTTGGATTGCGAGTAACTTGGTCTACGAGTGTTTTGCAAGACGTCTCCCACCTGAGGACGACTGCTTGTGTGGCAATCGAAACGTCGTGATCTATTATTTTTAAATCCTTTATATTAAGTTCGCTTGCTTGCTTGCGTGCTTGCTTACGACCGTGCAAACCTTTCGGTCGTTTTTTAACCCATTTCCCGTGATCCAATCGAGCTGACATTTTGCACACAGACTCGTTGTGCGAGACAATTAATGTTCGTGAAAAAAAATTCCAAAATTTTACACTGTTTAGGGAAAACAAATTAAATATTTAATTACCAATTGTTTAATACTGCAGACAATCATCTGACCCATAGGTGGCAGCCATCTCAAGCCAGAGGACGAGAGGACTCTAGCCGCCACGCATATAAAGGATTTAGAGTGAAAAACTTTGTTTTTACGGGTTATACTTATTTCTCCCTACGTGACTTTACCGAAAGAACCACAGAGTATATATGTAGAGTTAATTTACTTTTTCTTCAATGTGCTGTGAATAGTTTTGTACGACGTTCCTTTATCATTGCCTCGTTGTGCCACCCATTAGTATCATCAGACAATGCGACTAACTGTATCGACGTCGTGTTGTTGCCTCTCCCCGTGAAGACCGACATTTCAGAGGGCTCCCTAAAAAGTAGGCTCGGGTCACATGGCCATACCTGAGCTGCTGTGCTGGGTAATCCCGGGCCACGGCAAAGATCAGCACGGAGTACAAACACGAATCCTTGAACCAGGTCAGAATGTGCTGCAAGCTACTCGCAGTAATTCACTTTTACCGATCGGCTGTTTAGCGCATTCCGAGCGGTGCTTTTCTCTCGCCGGACAGATTTAGTTTCACGTCTTCAGGCGGTGATGGATAAAACGAGTGAACTATTTTCACAAATTCTGCGACGCTAAAAGGCTGCCCCAGCTTGTTATGACTCATGGTGGCATAAAGAGAATACATCTCGAAGCTTTAATTTCATAAACCTTTACTTCTTGCATCTCCATATCTTGAAATATATTTACGTATGCATACCAGGGCAAAAATCGAAATATACCTTCGTGAAAATGCGTTGAAGGATGTGAAGCACGAATGATGCTGGTGAACAATTATTTCCCGTCATGTCACGTGGAGATTGCCTGGTGACTGAAAACCAATGACCCCGCACAGCGAGCGACACGGATCGCGGGTTGACCTGGCCGATGGCCTGCCAGGGTGCATCACGATATTTTACCACGCCGATTCACACTGCTGGCCAGTCCACATGACAACCTCTTGCAATTTAAGGGTGTCACATGGTAAACCCTTGCAATCCAAAACACGCCTCGCGATTTCTCAATCGTGTTCCAAAAATACAAGTTGGTGATAAATCTTGTAAAATGGAATGACATTTTAATCTGCCCTAGATTTATCATCCATGACATCTCTGTCAAGTTTCATTACACAGAGTAGATCACCGAAACGACAACATGGAATCGAGATGCTTTGTTAATTCATGATGCAGGACATTGTGAAGTGTTGACAATTTTATTATTTCGACAAACGTAATAATCAGCGACTTAGTGCTGCAGGAGACTAGTTGGCCAATGTGTATGATGTTAACTCCGAGCACTGCACCTCTGCAATGTGTTAGTGTGAAATGCACGGCTTGAGATGTTTGTATTTTCATTATTTTTAATACATTGCTGATTTTTTTAAATAATTGTTTCCCTCTCGTGTTGTTCATTTGTCTGCACTAAGATGAAGTTGTACTTTACTGTGCAGCCCAAGTTTGCCTCCCAAGACAGACTCGTCTCAGTGGACTCTCACGGGGTCATAAACAACGGTCATGCATTTGCTGCGCAGTCCATACGGATGCATGTACACACAAACATACGCAGCGGATCCCACACTTTGGCGAGAATACACAATTTAGCTTCAGGGCAGAGCATTTCCAATTGAGTCATCCAATGAGCTGAAACACACAATTGTGCCACGTGGAGGTGACCGAATCACTCGAAATGCCTCCATCATCATCACATTTCAGAAGCTCAGCAACATTTTGCCGTGGATCGTGCTCGGATTGGGTGACCACCGATCATCGGCCGGGCAGCGTGGGTCTCTACACGGCGATGTTACCAGCAGAGGGCACTGCAGGAGGTTCCGGCTGTTCAAGACTTTAACGCAACCATCACATTAAGCTCCATGCTTGCACCAACCCATTCTGACCATCATGGTGAAGAATTGTCATTACAACCCCCACCACTTGTATGAGGTGGGGGGGGGGGGGCTAGTTAAATATTAACATAATTGGTTCGATAAATTGTAATGTCACTTCATTTAATGGACCTGCCCAATCCCTCATATACCAATTATAACAAATTAACATAACTTAAAAAGGCTGATCATGCATTCTTATTTGGATTTAATTTGGATCAGCATTCATTAGATAACACATATCATCATGTGATGTAATTATGATATCTGTGTACAAACACTCTTGAGTCGGTATAGAGTTCAAAATCTCTGCGAAAACATCTTAATGCTGGGCTGTCAAAGGAAATTCTGAAAGTTTCAGCTTGAAATTCTTCTTAAACAGTAAATATAAAAACAATTACACGTGACATATTTTCAAGAGCAGCAGATGGGATGAGAATCATTTGAGACGTGTCACCTTGGGTGAACTACAATTCCCGTTGTTTCGCGAGCAAATGAATCATCCAAAGAGATATACGAGAGCAAACGTGATCTGTACAAGTTTATAAACCAGCGAGGAGACGTAAAATGCAATGAGCTGCAAGACAGCATCGAAGCCAAAGAGCAATTGTTGAAATAACTAGTAAATTCAGGAAAAGGTATTCTAAATTGATCATTCATTGGTATGAACACAAATGTTATAGGCAGAATAAAATAGTTTACTGATAAGCAGTTGATATAGAAATAGAAAAACACAGTTGGAAGCTAAGGAGTACACAAATATTTTAAAATTATAAACACAAGTCTTACAGCTAATTGGATATGTGTGCTACCCTCAAATTGTCTTTAAAATAATGTTAGTTTACATAAAAGGGCACCATGGGCTTGTGGGTCACTTTGCCGATTGAGACACACCATAAACATTGTGAATGACCACAGAAAGTGTCAGTAAGCTACTGGGAAACACGCTGGAAAAACAATGACGCATAACCTCTTTAGAATGTCAGTGTTTGTGAGAATTAAACGAACTTAAAAGTAAAACTACCACATTAAATTCGAATTTAACTTCTGACAAATATTCTTAATTAAAATCAAGTGCCCGTCACAGGATAAAACAAAAATACCCAAAGCGCGACTGTGATGGCACGAGACGAGAAGAGAATCGAAGCGCTGTTTTATTTCGCATGACATGTTTAAGTCGGTCTAATTCTATCCCACTGCGCGTAACAATTCATAGCCCATTGGCAATCCATTTCTGGATGAAGACCTCCCCCCCCCACACTGTGTTGTCCGTGGAGGTTGTTTTGACCATACTTCACCGCAATGGTCAGTGCACACTGGTGAATGGGGGAGCCAATACTGATGCAATTTATCAACGTCCACCGATGTTTGCCCAAGTCAGGAATAAAACTCAAATTCGGTGGGTTAATAACGGCCGTGCATTAACCAATGTGGCAACAATTCTAAAGTGTGGCTCTTGTGTTAACAAATAAAAATTGTTGAAGAAAAATAGAACAAACAGTTAGAAATGTTCTCTCAACATTTTAGGAATATTTAATCTACTTTGTAACCGCAGATGAAATATCTAAGAAGTTCAAGCAGACTTTGAAGGTAGGATAAAAAAACGTGGTATGTTATGCTCGGCAGTTATTTATAGTATGTATGCATGAATCTCACAAAGTATTCGGAAATAGCACCCTTTAAAGTTGTTGTTGTCATGATTTATGTAGAGCCCAGGTTTAAACAGGCATAATGTAAAGTAAATATACAATATCCACACGTAAATGTGTCTGAATCGAAACGTTACTAACACACTAATGCAATAATACAATGTATGCAACGATATAACTTGTTTAAAAAAACACACAAATATGTAGGACACAATAAGAGCTACAAATTTTTAACTTTGAACGACTTTGTTCATTAACAAATTGAAGTACTGTGGCGATAGAAAACATGACACACCGGGTCAATATTATCACAATCGTTGATGTCAATTGTCACAAACTACACGTTCGCTTTGAGCAACCTGGTATGTGTGTCTAATCGATTAAAACAGCTGAAAAGCAGATTTGATGAACAATGATTTGGTTTACAGAGCCCACCACTTTGGGAGTTCTCGTGACCTATGCTCACTGCAAACAGATTTGAAGTTCACATCAAGCTTGCTCATGGGGACAGCAGTGATCAGATCTGTCCAGACACGAGCAACTACATGTTTACACTCGGAAATGGAGCACCCAGCATTGCCAGCGACGACTTGAACTAAAACTGTCCCGGTGTACCGTGAGGTTGAGTGTATCGCAAGTAGCAGTACCACAGCACTGACAGTTGCTTCAATAAGCACAGTGGGAACTCCTGATGCTCATCACAGCTCATTTAAAGATTTTAATTGTCAAATGATAACCTTACAGCCAGCGGTCTCTGTAATAGAATGAAATAAAAGCATAGTGCATATTTAAATGCTTCAGTGGACTAGCCTTTCCATGAAACTGTGATCTTTTCAACGCAACGTTTGTCTTTCCAAATTTGAATGGTGAGCTATCACTTGGAAGAAGATGGAATAATTTATAATTTTAAAAAAACATCTGCGCCGATTCACCATTTGCAAGCCTCCTCTTAAACATGTTACGAAATAAAATAAAAATCGAGGATAACTACTGAATTGGACAATCCAGAGAGATGGCAGAGTTTACTGAAAAATGCCCATTTTGAAAAGACACGGGACTGCCCCCGCAAATCTCACCACAAATCTATGCACCCCACAGTTCCTTTAATTGGGGCAACAATTGTGATCCCCTGATCGTAGAGTGCACCGTTCTTCTCAAGGGGCATTTCTGTCGTACTGCTCCAATTCCATCCGTATCCATCCACCGTCGAGATTAATGCAATAATAGCAAGCTAAATGAGTTAATGGTTTCAACTAAATAAAATCCTACTACATGTACAACATGAAATTATCTTCAAGGTGTGCCCATACATAGATCTGTACTGGAGCACTGGTAAATTGTCGTGTGTCTCCCATAACAACAACAATAATAATATTAAGGGCTAAGGCATGAATAAAGACACTCACTGTTACGTATATGTATTTAAATAGCGGTTGGCCGAAAGTGCAATGAGAATTATGGACTGGGAGGGTAAAGTGGCAGAATGAAAGCTACCACAGGAACTGCTTTTGAAATGCATTTCTGGTTTGTCTTTATGCCAGTGTAGAATCACACCCGGTGTATATACACGCTGCAAGTCCGACGCACGCAGATGTGGGTGTGTGCGTGTGCGTGCATGTTTGTGCGTGCGCCTATGCGCACGTGTGTGTGTTGGTGTGTGCGTGCGTGTGCGTGCGCGTGCACGCACGCCGGATCGCCGCCCTCCACTAATCTTCCATGAGTTCTTCGGGGCAGGGTCCGGACTTGAGCATCACGTCGCCCAGGCTGATCTCTCCATTCCTCCCCTTCCCTCTCTCGGCTTCGAAGACAATCTGCACACACGAGCCGGGCACACGGGCAGAGACGCGGGTTATTGTGGTCGGTGGCCGCGCACAGCACCCTTGTCAATCCACTTGCGGCACGAAGACCTCCCCAGGCCACGCGGGTCGCAGCTGTGACTTGACCATACTTCCACTTGCTGCTCAGCGTTGATTGGTGAAGCTGGACAGCATAGACTGTGGGAGCACATTAGAGTGCAACAAATGCTTTTGTCACAAAGATACACATCCAGTCATGCATGTGGAAATTGATAATTACACTGTACCTAATTCTGGCATTTGCAACGGTTAAGTTAAAAGGAAGTCGCGTTCTCAAATAACACACACACACATTGACCTGCCACCTGTGCTCCATTGAATTTCGGTGTGTAATCGCACCCACATGGGAATCAACAGCACACCTGAAATTCCGAACATTCTGCTGGCAATCAAACTAGTCCGTGAAGCACAATGTAGGGGGTGCACTGCACAATGGCCCAAGCAGAGATAAATACAGCCCCAATCCTCGTTTCAAATTCTCTGCCAAAACCAAGGTTCAAGTTAAGCCCTATCCCGCTGTGGCACACACATCCCGCACAGTGTTTCTCAGATGTCGCAAATCGTTGTGTACCGCCATGCCACCTTCTCTCTGTCGCCCCCCGGACTGAGAAAGTAATCCCCATCTCCATATCCTTTACATTAGAATTGTGACCTTGTCAGTATTTCATGGAGCTTTCAACCCGGTCTCGTTCCAGTGAGACTGCCGTGTAATTGGATAGCTTAATAACGCGGTGAACGAGAATTGATGAACCCAAGGAAGACGCGTTACGTAAAATACAAAACCAAAGTCGGAGTTAAAACTAATGTATTTAAAAATAATAGTAATAAGAACCATTAACAAAATTGAAACAGCGAAAATGAGATTGCACAACGCAAGTGAAGAAAGCAACTAAATAGACCTGGCAGTGCCAAGCAGCAGGCGCGGGAAACGACCCCAGAGTTTAAAACAAGACACAAACACGTGCGTTAAAACCACCCAGCAGCAGCTTTCCGTGAACACGACATCAACAATGCAAGCAGTTACACCATTGGAACCTCATTTGCCAGTAAAAAAATATGATAATTGTTTTTTTACCCTTCTATCTGGCAACAAAACTGACACCTATTTTTTTTTTACAAGGGTAAAAAAACAATTATCATATTTTTTTTACTGGCAAATGAGGTTCCAATGGTGTAAATGCTTACCCCGAGCTCTCATACTCTGATGGTGCATTGTCTTTGAGTTGTGCGCCTTTTGGCGTCATCTGGTCCAACCCATGTGAGACTAGGCTCTAAGGAAAGCTGTCTCGGGTGTGGACCAATCAACTTCAAGGACAGTGCATACATTATCAGAGTTGTGTTTTTGTTTGCATTATGACTGCAGGTATAGTGGTCTATGCAAACATGACTCCATGTAAAAAAGGTGTCAGTTTTGTTGCCAGATAGAAGGGTAAAAAACCAATTATCAAAGCAAGCAGTGTTATGTTTAATGGCACTACGGCATTGATAGCGTACAACCATTATTTTTGCGGCAGAAATAAGACGCAGGGGCTTTATTGCTTACGCAAGTAACGTGAGCACGGCGTTTTATTGCGTCTTGGTGGCTCATTCCTCGACCGTGCGCTCGCGTTACCGGCAAAAATACTGCGCCTCCACGGGCCGCTGCTGCTTCTTCAATTACTGCCGCACGATCAGCTCCGAGCAGAGCGCGCTTTTTGTTTATGCGAAAAACATGATTTGGTGACGATGCTGCCGTGTTGAAAAAGACCTCGACACGTTCGTCAATGACACTGCGAGCCATCGGATGAAAAATACTTAATCGGTGACATTTGAGGCAATGGACCTTCTTGTATAATAATAACAACTATAATATGTTCATGCTTTCATTGGAGCAGTGTGACGGCCTTATGGAAGAAGTGTATATTTGCCCGCGATTATTTATCCTTATTTTTGACATAACCGGCTAAATAAAAATCACGGTAGACGGGTGCCAAGCAGCCTTTATCCCGAGCGTAACTTCAGCGGACAGCTGTCACTCGTGATCTTCTTAAACGGCAACACGAAGCCGCATTTAAAAAAAAAAAAAGCTCAGAGCAATTTATGCTCCATAAATTCTGACTGCGGTGGCGAGCCAGGCCCCGACTGCCGAAACATTCCCCCTACTGAGCTTTCAGGACAGAAATACGCGGCGTATAAATAACGGCACCAGCAGGGCCTGCTGTGTCTCCCCAAACACAATACCATGAAGCGCGTGCTCGTTAGAAACGCGGCTATTGTTAGCGGATATCCCAAGTGTTTGGTCAATTTATAGCTATAATTCTGAGATTCTGCGTTAATTAATTTATGGTCTTTAAGCATCCTGGGTATTTCTAAGTACAGAATTGTGCTTGATGCACGCTGTCCAGTACTGTACGCACACGATCTCACCAGATCTCAGATCTCAAAGTAGGATTTCGTCTTGGACAGAACTTGGATGGGCGACCACCATGCATATGAGTTGTTTCAGGCGTTGTGGCTATACTTTACCATCAACTTAGGGGAGTGAACAAAAAATGTGTGTTGTACTGTACTTCTATGTTCCCGTATCTATGTCCCCACTCCCCCGGCCTTCACCAACCCGCACTAACCAGCGTGGTGAAGTATGTTTATAACACTTATAAATAGCAGTCTTGTCAAAAGCTTGCTTTTCTTTTCCTTCACTCGTGGTGCCTGGCCCCACCGGCTCCTCCTAGCGATGACCCCGCCACAGGGCTGGCTTACTGTCATCACATTGATCTGTATAGAGGGACGCACGGGTGAAGTGACCCCCAGTGTGACCCCAGTCCTCCTTCTACAAACCAACCCCGGGGAAGAGACTCATCGCGCTCTCTTGAAGCAACGCGTGCCCCGAGCAGCGCCACTACCCGCCATTCCACCATCGTGCTTACGAGACGTCTACAATTTGAGGGATGGAGTGTCCTGTTTCAGCGGTTCAGAGTTAATTTTATTTAGAGAGGCATGGAACCGTTGTTTTTAAAGACGTCGCACTCACCGCAGAGAACCGTAGCGACACGACCGCACTCTACGATAGCTGGCGCCAAACTGTGCCACACGCCCCCCCCCCCCCCGCATAGCCTTGTGGGAGCCTTGATACAGATAAAGTTATTTTATTTGAGTTCTTCTTCCGATGCCGTTCCGATGACGTCCACGCACGTTCCGATGACGTCCACGTACGACATCGGAATGCAATCGGAAGAAAAGCTGATGAAGTACACGGAACGGGAAAGGATTTAATCATCGGCGTACGTTGGCCACGCGGCGAGCCCCCCGCCACCGCCCCCGCGCATGCAGGCGAACCGCCGGGGGGGAGACTCACGCTCTCCAGCGCCGTGGGCAGTAACGTGAGCCCCGAGTGCCGCCACTGGCCCGTGGCGGCGCCCCACCACTCCCACACGGGCGGCCCCACGCGGCCGCCCCTCTGCAGCATCACCCGCAGCTTCCCCGGGTGCTCGCCCGCCACGCGGTAGCGGAACGACACGCAGAAGTCGCCCTGCGGCACGGGGCTGGACAGGGAGAGGCTCAGTCGGCCGATCTCGCGGCGGCGGCTCGAGGTGGCCGGCACCGTCATGTAGCGCTCGCGGCCTGCGGAGCGCACGCACACACACACACACGCAAAACGTGCGTGTTGATCGCTTTCATTGTCGTCGCGAAGACACTCATTACTGACAATTGTCATCTTCATAATCATCACCGCTCGTAGCATCGAAATCATCATGATGATATTGTCGTGACTGATGACATTATAATCATCCTCGTTTTCATCATCATCAAGACATTGTCATTACCGATATGATGATCATCTTCATCACTGAGATCAACCAACATCAGCACTAGTATCACTATCATTATAATGATACTGTCGTACTGACGACATCATCATCCCTTTCATTATGAAGAAGACAACGCCATCATCGTCAAGACGTTGTCATTACAGATATAATGATCACCTTCAATCAGGGAGACCATCATCATCAGCACTGGTATCATAATCATCATCATGACACTGTCACTCCAGGCATCAACGCTTGATCACTGACACCTACACTCTCACCATGATCGCCATCCCTAATGTCGACATCCGTGTCACAATTGACGTGAGCGTCATGACTAACATCGCCATCTTCATCAAACTTTCTAGAATCATGATTTAATCTTGGCTGACCTCATTATCATCCTATAACTTACATCATCATCTCATGAATGGCAATAAAAATCAACACAACCAGCAATAAAACTGACGTGACTAAAATCTTTGTCATTTATCTCATTGCGATCTTTGTAACCATAATTTTTCACCATCGTCGTTCAAAACAAATGCAGACGACTCATTTGTGTAGAGCTAAGAGATGACGAGTCACGCTCATCGCGAGACTTTGTGTGCTGGTCTTCAGCAATGCATGTGTATGTATGTTGAACTTCTTTCACACCATACGTAGCCAACAATGCCAATCAGAGCTGCGGAGAAGTCGGCATTCGTGTTTTATTTTGCGTGGGAATTAAATCCAAACCTAGCATTGGGATTCCAACTGTGAGTAAGAAGTGGGAATTGCTTTCCTCCAAACAGGAATAGCTCTTAAGCTGCTGCTACTGCTGCAGCTGCTGCTGATGTTGTTGTTATTGCTGATGTTGTTGTTGTTGTTAATGAGCCAATAGACACGGGGGTTCCCTACCATCGGGCGATTCCAGGAATTTCCAGTCAAAGTCGTCTTCAGCGTCCTGCATCCACTCGCAGGTTCCTTGCCCAAAGGCGCAGTTCCTGTAGAAATCTGGCAGCACCAGCACAAGGAGAGGCAGCACATCGACATCAATAGCAGCAACAGCAGCAATGGCACAAACCAGCATTGATGCACAATCATTGAACTCTGATGCTGCGCGTGGTTACCATCAACGCTTCACTTCCCTGCTTACGCAACTGTTGGCAGAAGGGCTTCCACTAATGTGAGCTCTAGAGGGGGTATTTGGCCTACTCCTCCATACTGGCCAGAAGTTTGGGAAGAGGTGGGAGTTCCATATTTTGGCCTCCATCACACGTCACCTTCCGCTCGACTGACGGACTGACTGCTGTGCCGAGTTATACGGCTGGGTGGACAGAGGCCTGGCGGTCGGGTGGTGGGGGATTTCAATAACTTGATAGTCCTCCAGCCTGTCGGCCTATCAGCCTTCTGGACCAATGTTTGTCAACAGGAATTTGTTTAAGCAGGAAACACTGGTTTCGGTCTCATCACCAGAGTGTGGCCTGTTAAACAACTGCGGCAAGAAAACTCCACAAACACTGTGGCGCCCGTTCGGTACGAGACAGCAACATTTGTTGAATGTTATTTTTCCACAAGGTTAGTCGACGGAGTGGCAGCCAAGGCACGGAAAACGCATCTGAGAGGACATCCACCATCCACGCGATGAAATCAGCTCGTGTGGATTGTTACACTGCGGGGTCACGTGGTCACGAGATGGTGGTGGCTTGGGGAGGCCTTCATCCTCCAGTGCGTTGACCAAGGCTGATGACAATCGGTGTACTCACGCAAGTACAGTGTACAAAGATGCACGGGTTGTGAACCAGACCAGCTGGAAACAGAAGCTCCCCACGTGCGGAAAATGTGGGAGAACCTTTCAGTGAGGTGCTGCGATGCAAGACTGTTCGCGTGCACGGGGCATCAGAATCCAAGGCATTTGGTATCAGGATAATCTGGGCAGGTGGTGCCTCTCACTAAACGCAAAGATAACATGCCATTGGGGTGAGATATGCCGAGGCTTTTGCTCCTGAGCTGCGTGTCAGACCGTAACCATGAGGCAAGGCTCGCGAGAGATTTGCGTGACTTACTCTCTCTGTCCGCGCTGCTGCCCCAGTCGATTGAGATGGCGCCCTGAAAGGTTTCCTTCCCAGATTGCACTGCAGCACAGACACATTCACACACCACCGTCACACACACAGATATTTCTGAACGCTGTCCAACTAAGATTAGCTCTGTCGGTACATCTGTCTGGAACGGGTGGAGGATGGCCATGATAACTCTCGTAAAGATGATTCAATGTCAATTTATGTTTATAATAAAGTTCACGTTCAGGACTTTCTCAGCTGAAATCGGGCGACATTTATCAAAGGAATGCATCAAAGCAAAAATGACGACCGTGTATTTGCCAGTACACAAACACATTTCGCCTTGACACCTGCTCCTCGGCTTTCATACGAATGAAGCAATGTTTCCGAAGACCAAAGTGCGTTGGGGAAAGTGCCACGTGAATGAGTATGTGCGATTGTTTTTCTCTCCCAACTTGTTAATTTATTGAGTTCGTGAAAGGTGACCCAAACTGTGAACGTGGAGCAGTGGAGCGCACGCTCAATATTTGAAGATCACACAAGGTTCACATCCTAACAGAGGTCGACTCAGCCATTCAGTCCTCCGAGGAAAATTAAATTGATTTCAACTCTACGGGAATCCTGAATGTTCATCTTGTGCCGAGGGGCTGTGGCCAGCAGCTGGGCACCACCGCATTGCCACTGGAGTGGGAAGCCACCTGCAATTAGATTTGTATGATATTTATATTGATTTGTATGATATTTATATTGATTTGTATGATATTATTATTGATTTGCATGATATTAATATAGATTTGTTTGATATTAAAATATATTTTTACGATATTAATGTTGAATTGTGTGATAGAAATATTGATTTGTATGATATTAATGTTGATTTGTATGATATGAATGTTAAGTTGCATGATATGAATATTGATTTGTATTATATTAATGTTGATTTGTATGATATGAATATTGATTTGTATGATATTAATGTTGATTTGTTTTTGATAAACAGTAGTGGCCCCCTATGAGCCGGGGCATCTCGGAGCGCTTGACGCCTCATCTCAACCACGTGGAAAAGCCACGTCCCGTGGCAGCTGTCCATGCAGGCACACGGTGGTGGCTCAGCACTTGGCGTGCCAATGGGCGTTTGTCTGCCAGTAGGGCACAATGATTGTGATGTTAAGTTTCACAAACTTAACGTGAACATTATTTTAAAGGCATCTCTTTGTGTAAAAAAAATCCCCAGGAAGAAAAAATGCACAAAAGTTCAAGGTTATTCTATTGATGACTCCAGTATCAAGAGCAAGTCGCTCTCAGCAACATCCTTTAAATTTCAGTCTTCAAAATATTTTGACTGCTGCATGTAAATATTTACGTCACCTGGAACACAGCCGTTTGACTCGAGGCCATTGTATCCCGGAGCCTCCACCAGCCGTGGTCAGATTCCTCGGAGCAAAATCATTGCCAAATGCCCTCTCTGTGATGAAAACCAGAGCAGGTGAGAGTGTGCAGATGACGTGCAGTGCTTTGAAAACCGCAGGCTTTACCAAAGATGTCTCCGCGAGGCTTCTGAGGTTCGGGGTCGATGCTGTTGCTCGCGTGGACGTCGTCTCCGCCCTCCGGCCGGGGGGTCAGCCCCACAGCTCCCGCTCCGGCCGCAACACCGGGCCCTGCCGTCCCAGCGGATCCTCCCGTCCCACCGGCTTCTCCCGTCCCAGCGGCTCCTGCACTCCCCCCATCTCCTGCACTCCCCCTACCACCTCCGGGACTCCCCCCACCACCTCCGGGACTCCCACCACCGCCTCCCGTCCCACCGCCGCCTGCGCTCCCCCCACCTCCCACGCTCCCACCGGCGGTCCCCGCTCCTTCCGTGACCGTCGCTCCTCCTCCCAGGGCCGTGGTCCCCCCGACCGCGTTGCTCTCCTTCTTGAGGCCCTTGCGGCCGGCGGGCCCCTCCAGCTTTCGTGGCGCGCCGATGAACGCTCCGCTCTCGTCGTAGTCGAAGGGCTGGAGGCCGGGCCGCCGCTCGGTGCGGGCCGGGGTGCGCGCGGGTGCCGCCGGGGCCGGCGGCGTGGGGATCTCGTTCCTGAGCTCCTTGCGGTGCGGCCGGACGACGCTGTGCCGCCCGGTCACCAGGTTGCGCAGGTAGTGGCGGCTGCCGCCCCCGCCCAGGAAGACGGGCGAGGCGACGTTGGGGATTTCTGGCACCGCTGAAGGGTGGGGTTGGGTGGGGGGGACAGTGGGAGCGCAATGTCACCCGAAGCTCTGCCACGACCCAGGAACTCGAGGGGCTCCACCAGGAGTCACCAGCTGCTGTGTTCCCCGCCCGTTGCGTGGAATGGCGAGAGGCAACGGTGCAGCCCTGCAGTTGCCTGCTCACGCCACTGCTGGCAGAAGGACCCCGACGAGTAGAAAGCTCTGGGGAGCCCCTTTGGGGCTATTTTGGCCTACTCTTCCATGTTGGCCAGATATCTTGGAAGAGGTGGGAAATACCCACACTTCTAAATTGTGGTTGTAAGCACCGTTCTTCATCGTATCCATGCGCGACCTGAAACGACTGATAATTGGATCATCGTTAAGACGCTCGCTCACGCGACATTATCATTCGTTTGGCTGTGTCGGGGTGGTGGAGCGTCTCGCAAAAGAAATTTGTCTGGATCATTATGTACGTACGTTTGCCTGATACAAAAATCGAATGTGTATCAAAGTAAGCGGTGTATTTTCTTGGGGGGAGGAAGTTTGGGGTGGGTTGTGGCTATCCACTGAATCTTATTTAATATTTATAGAGCTCAAGGCGCTCTCTAAATATAAAATTGTTTAAAAGCAGTAACAAACATGAGAGTGATTTAGATGGCAGGGGCAGTGCAAGGGCCGAGGAATGAGCGACCATAACAGAGGGCACGTGGGGGTCACGACAGGGCAGCGGAGGCACGGCGAGAGCGGAGGGGCGAGGGGAGGGAAGAGGAAGGCAATGGGCGATGTAGAAGAAGTGGTGGCGGTGGTGAGGCTTTAAGAGAGGACTGGAAGGTGGTTAAGGAGGGGGGACTGCTTCACAATTAACACTGCGAAGGAGGAGCTTCCTCTTCTTTCGTAGATGCAGGTAAACAACCAGAATTTCACATTCAACGTGGTCAGGCGAGATAACGTGGCGGCGGCAGGCGGAGCTCACGTGTGCAGTCGGAGCCGCTGCCACGGAAGCCCGGCTTGCACTTGCAGCGGTAGGAGCCGGGCGTGTTGTAGCACACGGCGTTGGCGTGGCACCTGTGCTTGCCCAGCTTGCACTCGTCCGTGTCTGTGCACAAAGCCACTCACTCTGCGTCGGCACACGGGCTATCGAGACGGATCGCCCGCCCGCCCTTCACAGCAGCCACCTCTGTTGCCGTGGGTTACGGCTTAGGGTCACAACAATTGTAAGGAGTCGCTTTGGCTGCTAAGACGGAGGCAGCGTTGTGCACGTGGGGCTCATGTTCAGACTTTCAATTTTAGTTTTGCTGGCATTCAAAATTAGTTTTTCGAATCGTGAAGAACGTATGGGTTGAAGTAAAATAAAAAAAGCATTCAAGCAGTTCATTGCCCATCAAGGAACTCCTGGCAATATTTCTCAGTATTTCATGCTGCTTGTCAGCCCAATGGAACATTTGGGAATGTTTAATACAGTAGCAGTACCCATGAACCCGATTAAAAAGCTGAACACTCCAAAAGCATGTGGCTTACAGTTGCACCCACACCTACCTACAGAACAAGAGCAATGCACACCTGTGCACACACTTACGCACGCGTTTGTGATTAGCTGTGGAATTCAGCACGTCGTGGAGAGGTGCATTGAGTTAGAAGATTCGTAGATTTAACCTCCCAATCCATCTCACACTGCTGCTACCGCTGCTGCATTTCTGCATAGTACAATCCTTTAGTTTTACTATTTCTTTATATAGCTCTATTCCAGAAGCGACCTGGCCGCAAATAATAACTCAATGAAGTGGCTTATCACGTGGTAATTTATAGCAGACAAACGCGTGGTGTTGATTCTAATTGTGGAGGGACCGGAGAAAAATCCACACAACCACGGGGAGAGAGACACGCAAACTTCAATTAAACAGGTGTCAGGGTCGAACCCACGGCCTCCTGTATACCAGGCGAGACAGTTAACATCTTCGCCACCGTGAAGACCCCTCGCCTCCACGGTGCCCCTTCAATCATCCATCGTGGCGACAGAAACCACTGCTGCTGCGCTAACGTTCAAAGCGAGAAGGGTGCGGGATGAGGCTTCGTGTCGAGACACCGTGTCGCTCAGGGCAGGCCCAGTGCAGGGATCTGCTGAGAATTATTTTTTAAATCCCAAAGCCAGGTGTGTGTCTGGTTTCCAAAAGCACTGCATGTGCGGTCAATCTTCAGTTACCCCATTGGCAACACCTGGTGTGAATGGAATATCTAGAAATGTGCAGTCTGGGTCACTTCACGGGAAGCTAAAATAGAGTCCAGTGCAGCCACCGTCAACGTTGAGACATGGTTGCCTGCCACAGCCCGGCGTTCCATTGTAACCGGGGACTGCAATTCATAGAGGAAATGAGGTTTGTAGTAAAAGTATAAAACAGTGTGAAGGCATTTATTTTGAATCCCTTTCCTGCAGAGATGAAGGTAAAGGTGCAGCCCTGCCATGTTTGCACATGCCAACGCTGGTGGAAGCGCCCTCGACTCGAACAAAGACGGTGGTCACCACATCGCTCGTGCTTTCAGATGCGCTTCTGCGGCCGTCTGGAACGCTCTTCCTTCCAATATTAAGAAGCCACTGGGAAGCTATGCACTTTTAATCTACATTGAACACTTATTTCTTTAGAAGTGCTTGTTGTGTTTAGTTTGTTGTCCTTCCCCCCACCTCGGATTAGCACGGTTGGCTACGTACGGCGTGAGAGAAGTTCAACTTACATACAGACATGGAGATCTAGAGCCGCTCTGAGAGGGTATAATGGCCTACTCTTCCACGATGGCCAGACATCTTGGAAGCGGTGGGAGTAGCCATGCTTGACTCCATCACATGTGACCCACCGATCGACGGCGGCACGCCCATGACTGCATAGCCGCTGGGTGGACAGGGACAGGGGGAGTAGAGAAACCCGCCCATTGTTTTAACTGCCGCGCCGGGAGATGGACGCCTGCGGCCTCTCACCTTTGCACTGGTACTTGCCGCTGTGGTAGTTGAGGTCGTAGCCGTCGATGCACTTGCAGAGGTAGCTGCCGAAGGTGTTGACGCACTTCTTGTGACGCGGGCACACGGCCTTGCCCGCCTTGCACTCGTCCACGTCTACGGCGGGACAAACGTGGCTCTCCTCAACGCTCAATCGTCTGCCACCCCGACAAGCAGCGGTGGCGCCGGCTCAATGGGGGCGCGCAAAGCAGGAATCATTCTTGGCTGCCTGACCAATTGGATTATAAACTCCTTCACGAAATGACGGAAGAGATGCAGACAGGAGTTAGAGATGTAGCGAGATGAGAGAAATGTGGACAGGAATTAGAGATGCAGTAAGATGAGAGAAGAAAGATGGAGAGAAGACATGTAATGAAATGAAAAAGATACAGATACACTATGGGGACCTCATTTGCCAGTAAAAATATGATAATTGGTTCTTTACCCTTCTATCTGGCAACAAAACTGACACCTTTTTGCAAGGAGTCATGTTTGCATAGACCGCAATACCTGCAGTCATAACACAAACAAAAGAACATAACTCTGATAATGTGCACTGTCCTTGAAGTTGATTGGTCCACACCCGAGACAGCTTTCCTTCGAGCCTAGTCTCATATGGGTTGGACCAGATGACGCCAAAAGGCGCACAACTCAAGGACAATGCACCATCAGAGTATGAGAGCTCGGGGCAAGCATCTACACTATGGGGACCTCATTTGCCAGTAAAAATATGATAATTGGTTCTTTACCCTTCTATCTGGCAACAAAACTGACACCTTTTTGCAAGGAGTCATGTTTGCATAGACCGCAATACCCGCAGTCATAACACAAACAAAAGAACATAACTCTGATAATGTGCACTGTCCTTGAAGTTGATTGGTCCACACCCGAGATAGCTTTCCTTCGAGCCTAGTCTCATATGGGTTGGACCAGATGACGCCAAAAGGCGCACAACTCAAGGACAATGCACCATCAGAGTATGAGAGCTCGGGGCAAGCATCTACACTATGGGCACCTCATTTGCCAGTAAAAATATGATAATTCGTTCTTTACCCTTCTATCTGGCAAAAAAACTGACACCTTTTTGCAAGGAGTCATGTTTGCATAGACCGCAATACCTGCAGTCATAACACAAACAAAAGAACATAACTCTGATAATGTGCACTGTCCTTGAAGTTGATTGGTCCACACCCGAGACAGCTTTCCTTCGAGCCTAGTCTCATATGGGTTGGACCAGATGACGCCAAAAGGCGCACAACTCAAGGACAATGCACCATCAGAGTATGAGAGCTCGGGGCAAGCATCTACACTATGGGGACCTCATTTGCCAGTAAAAATATGATAATTGGTTCTTTACCCTTCTATCTGGCAACAAAACTGACACCTTTTTGCAAGGAGTCATGTTTGCATAGACCGCAATACCTGCAGTCATAACACAAACAAAAGAACATAACTCTGATAATGTGCACTGTCCTTGAAGTTGATTGGTCCACACCCGAGACAGCTTTCCTTCGAGCCTAGTCTCATATGGGTTGGACCAGATGACGCCAAAAGGCGCACAACTCAAGGACAATACACCATCAGAGTATGAGAGCTCGGGGCAAGCATCTACACTATGGGGACCTCATTTGCCAGTAAAAATATGATAATTGGTTCTTTACCCTTCTATCTGGCAACAAAACTGACACCTTTTTTGCAAGGAGTCATGTTTGCATAGACCGCAATACCTGCAGTCATAACACAAACAAAAGAACATAACTCTGATAATGTGCACTGTCCTTGAAGTTGATTGGTCCACACCCGAGACAGCTTTCCTTCGAGCCTAGTCTCATATGGGTTGGACCAGATGACGCCAAAAGGCGCACAACTCAAGGACAATGCACCATCAGAGTATGAGAGCTCGGGGCAAGCATCTACACTATGGGGACCTCATTTGCCAGTAAAAATATGATAATTGGTTCTTTACCCTTCTATCTGGCAACAAAACTGACACCTTTTTGCAAGGAGTCATGTTTGCATAGACCGCAATACCTGCCAGATAGAAGGGTAAAGAACCAATTATCATATTTTTACTGGCAAATGAGGTCCCCATAGTGTAGATGCTTGCCCCGAGCTCTCATACTCTGATGGTGCATTGTCCTTGAGTTGTGCGCCTTTTGGCGTCATCTGGTCCAACCCATATGAGACTAGGCTCGAAGGAAAGCTGTCTCGGGTGTGGACCAATCAACTTCAAGGACAGTGCACATTATCAGAGTTATGTTCTTTTGTTTGTGTTATGACTGCAGGTATTGCGGTCTATGCAAACATGACTCCTTGCAAAAAAGGTGTCAGTTTTGTTGCCAGATAGAAGGGTAAAGAACCAATTATCATATTTTTACTGGCAAATGAGGTCCCCATAGTGTAGATGCTTGCCCCGAGCTCTCATACTCTGATGGTGTATTGTCCTTGAGTTGTGCGCCTTTTGGCGTCATCTGGTCCAACCCATATGAGACTAGGCTCGAAGGAAAGCTGTCTCGGGTGTGGACCAATCAACTTCAAGGACAGTGCACATTATCAGAGTTATGTTCTTTTGTTTGTGTTATGACTGCAGGTATTGCGGTCTATGCAAACATGACTCCTTGCAAAAAGGTGTCAGTTTTGTTGCCAGATAGAAGGGTAAAGAACCAATTATCATATTTTTACTGGCAAATGAGGTCCCCATAGTGTAGATGCTTGCCCCGAGCTCTCATACTCTGATGGTGCATTGTCCTTGAGTTGTGCGCCTTTTGGCGTCATCTGGTCCAACCCATATGAGACTAGGCTCGAAGGAAAGCTGTCTCGGGTGTGGACCAATCAACTTCAAGGACAGTGCACATTATCAGAGTTATGTTCTTTTGTTTGTGTTATGACTGCAGGTATTGCGGTCTATGCAAACATGACTCCTTGCAAAAAGGTGTCAGTTTTGTTGCCAGATAGAAGGGTAAAGAACCAATTATCATATTTTTACTGGCAAATGAGGTCCCCATAGTGTAGATGCTTGCCCCGAGCTCTCATACTCTGATGGTGCATTGTCCTTGAGTTGTGCGCCTTTTGGCGTCATCTGGTCCAACCCATATGAGACTAGGCTCGAAGGAAAGCTGTCTCGGGTGTGGACCAATCAACTTCAAGGACAGTGCACATTATCAGAGTTATGTTCTTTTGTTTGTGTTATGACTGCAGGTATTGCGGTCTATGCAAACATGACTCCTTGCAAAAAGGTGTCAGTTTTGTTGCCAGATAGAAGGGTAAAGAACCAATTATCATATTTTTACTGGCAAATGAGGTCCCCATAGTGTAGATGCTTGCCCCGAGCTCTCATACTCTGATGGTGCATTGTCCTTGAGTTGTGCGCCTTTTGGCGTCATCTGGTCCAACCCATATGAGACTAGGCTCGAAGGAAAGCTGTCTCGGGTGTGGACCAATCAACTTCAAGGACAGTGCACATTATCAGAGTTATGTTCTTTTGTTTGTGTTATGACTGCAGGTATTGCGGTCTATGCAAACATGACTCCTTGCAAAAAGGTGTCAGTTTTGTTGCCAGATAGAAGGGTAAAGAACCAATTATCATATTTTTACTGGCAAATGAGGTCCCCATAGTGTAGATGCTTGCCCCGAGCTCTCATACTCTGATGGTGCATTGTCCTTGAGTTGTGCGCCTTTTGGCGTCATCTGGTCCAACCCATATGAGACTAGGCTCGAAGGAAAGCTGTCTCGGGTGTGGACCAATCAACTTCAAGGACAGTGCACATTATCAGAGTTATGTTCTTTTGTTTGTGTTATGACTGCAGGTATTGCGGTCTATGCAAACATGACTCCTTGCAAAAAGGTGTCAGTTTTGTTGCCAGATAGAAGGGTAAAGAACCAATTATCAAGATGCAGATATTAAAGATGGAGTATGGTGGGAGAGAAAGATGCAGGCAACGTAGAGGTTGTAGAGATTAATATTATCTATTATGTAAATTCGGTTTTTATATTTATTAGAATCTCAACTCGAGCTGATATTTGGTGCATCCCCATTCATGAATTTGGGGGCGCTTGGGTTGCTTCGGGCCATATAAAGCCTTGCCTTAGCTCGGTTTGCTGATGGCAAGCACCACCACTGGTGACAAGTGGACGCGCTGTCCTGGAGTATGCCATCATTCGGGAAGGAAGTTACTCTGACTTTTGAATAACGTCTCTACAGGCTGAGATAATGCTGACTGCAGCGGCCGGTTTGAGAGGTTTTGGTGTCCAGGTCAAATGAACGGCTGGCGCTAAGTGACACTCTCCAAAACAAACACAGTGCTTTCCACGTGAACAGGAGATGTACATTAACACATGGGAAAAGGTTGAGTTGAAAGATTGGCTGTGAATATCAGAGAAAATACAAAGAGTTATACAGGTTCAGGCACAGGTGCGTACTCATGTCAGAGAGATAGATCTGCAGACAAATAGACAAAACGTATTGTCATCTCTGCGATGAAGATTATATACACAACGCCTAAATCCCGCGTTGGAACAAAAGCAGTTCTTGCTGCATAACTCTCCAACGTTTTTTGCGGGTTGTGCCGTGTGTGGTGTGGAGACGAATCCAGTGCCAGGATAAGCTCCCAGAACGTGGAGCGAAATGTCGGACATCGTGCCAAACAACACGCGGCACAACCCAAAAACATATCACAACCAAAACACCTACACAGTACCTTGTGCTGTTACTCGGGGGGGGAGAGAGAGGAGTTAAATGTCCAAGATTATTGGAAAATGTTTCCGCTGTGGCAAGCTGTTAACTTCCTCGCCTGGTATGCAGGAAGTCGTGGGTTCGATGCCGACCCTGACGCCTGCTGTATATTTAGAGTTTGCATGTCCTCCCCTTGATTTAATGGATTTTTCTCCAGATCCTCCGTTTTTTTTCCCTCCACATTTAGAATCAACATAAACGCGTTGAGAGTATTTGGCTGCCATACATTCCCACGTGACGATAAGCCACTTCGTTGAGCTGTCATTTGTGATAGCAGCCAGGTCGCTCCTGAAAAGAGCTGCATGGCTCAGTGGGCCTTTCCTGGGAGAATAACAAAATATTTATTGTTTATTTTATTTGTATTTTTACATCCAAACCTAATGAGGCCAAGGGTGTTCCCACATAATGTCTTTGCCTCCTTGGCTGGGTCTACGTCGCAAGTGCAATTAAGCAGCAAATCCTTGAGAGTGGCACAGGATTAGAGCCAGCATAAGCCCAGGCACATGCACAACTTCTTTCACTGAGTGCATCCAGCTGAGTTTCACTTCTCAAACCCTTAAGCTGAGCCCAAATGCAAGCAGTGCAATGGACTTCACTAGCAGGTGATCCTTATTAGTGGGTGAAGAAATGAACATTCCAATTCCTGAGAGAATTCACGCAGTAATGTACTCGGAATACTAAGAGTTGTTCGTTGTTGCAACTCATGGATTTCATCAACAATTAAACTTAAGTTAGCAGAGCATCACCTTACCAAGGAAATAGATCAGTCCAGAAAATAAAAACCACAGATGTCCTCTTTAGTGAATTCGTAATGCCGATTTTGAACAACACTCTATTCACTCGGTGTTACCTGATTATTTTAAAAAGATTAACCATTTTATTCCTCGAATGTGGATGAGGCCAATGCAAATGAACAACTCAAATGACCTCATGTATGATTTTCTACAGTTACCGTCGATTGCACTGAGACTATCAACATGCTATGCTTGCTAATTTAATATCAAGTGGCAGATTCAACTCAAAATCAAATAAGTAGCGAGAATGGACAGCCATCCCATGAACCACCCAGCCACTCCTACAAATGCTAAAAACCAACTTGGATTTTTCATGAACTCTGCCTTATGATAGAAATATAAAAGAAAAAAAACCGGGTCATGTTGTGGGGCAATGCTGCTCAATAAGAGTTTCACCAACTGCTGGGCTTTTGTGGCTTCCTATCCCCGTGACAACTGACCAAGTTCCAATAGATTATCCTTTGGTAAACATCAAAGACCATTGGATGCAGGTGTCCTTCAGGGGACACTCGTGACGTGGTTTAAGTACTCAGGTGGCTCAGGCCAGCTGACCAATGCTGTCGTGTTTTCAAGTGCAGCCATGTGTGGGACTGCAAAGTGAGAAGGGTGAGAAAGAGTAAACCACAAAGATGACAGCACGGGCTATATTTGAGATGTCGCTATATTTGAGATGTCGCTATATTTACGGTGGCTGTTATGGAATATGGGCTAATGTGACCACTTGCTTGCGCACGTGCATGTGAATGTAGAATGTATATGTGTGCACATGTGGTTATGCCACTAGGTTGAGTTGACCTAGGTGAGACTCAGGACCCATCCATATATAACATGCCATTGATGTCAGCTGTGGGAATCACATCGAGGCCGCAGAGTTTGTATGATCAGCCCTAAACGAGTAGCCGGCGTGATATGTGTAAACGTCGGTACCCGGAAGGCAAAGGAGGCTGGGTACGGCGCTGGCCACACCATCCCCTCCGTGTGTCATTCCGGCCTTAATAGGTGCTCGCTAACAGCACCCCAGCAGTCTGTTAAAGCTACTCGGGGAATTCATTTGTTGTGCAGACAATAACACCTTTGAGAAGCCGTTACAGTCTGACCACAGCCACTGATTTTCAAGTTCTGAAAGTGGCTAATCCAAAAAATATTAAAACTTTAAAGTAGATTTACTTCCTGGTGAAAGGTGCTAATATAGCATCTGCATATATATAGAACTATACAGCCTTAAAGACCCTTATGTTATAACATGCGCAAGCACACCTAACTGATAACTTGTCATTAATTGCCCAGAAAAGCTTCGCTCATTGCCAACACTAATTTCTCTTTTTTAATGTCCATGTAAATAAACTTGCATGCCAGAACAAGCCCATGCTCAGAGGCAGCTCAACATCGTCCTTGCTGGCTAATCTGACGCATAGACGCAAACTCTGCACGTACGTACGAGTCGTATTTTCACTGCTGGACAATTTATTGCAACTTGGTCAGTGGCTGTAGCCAAGAAGCCAAAACATCCTGGCTGGGTGGTAACGCTGCCAATTGAACAGCATTGCCCCCAACATTATCAAATTGCACATTTCTCTGTTATAAGGCTGTGAATGTTTTATGTATGTGGTGAGGATGTTTAACATTGGTAGGATTGGCTGGGTGGCTCTCAGGGCTAACGTCTATTTTGCGTACAGATTAGATTTCGGGTTCAGATCCAGGTTAAGAGCTGATACTAAATCAAATTCCCAAGCAGGGGATAATGTGTTGATGGCCTCAGCACCATCATCAATAACTCAAATGGATATTCATCAGAGACACACGGGTTAAAACTCACTTTTAGCCTGGTCCAAATCTGATGATTAACAAGTTCCCTCTGGTGTTGTTCAGAGAGGGCATTGCCAGGTGACTCCTTCACAGGCCACGTGCTGATTCCTCTTCATCTAGAGTCATTCACTGGGCTGACGTGACACTACGAAATTTCAAAATAATACTACTTAACCTCCTATAATGTAGTTGAGGTATAAATGTTGATCAAATCCATATGACATATTTATAGATAAAAAAATATATAGACGATATCCTGTCCGAGTACAATCAATATTGCATAATTTATCTTTGAAATTGAAACATTTTAATTCACTAAATCCCTTTACCCAGTAATAAGGATCTCCAGCTGGTGAGGTCCAGACTCGGAACCTTTCTTGCACTTGGGGCTCGGATTAGAGTTCACCAATCGCGCCTCGCCGCCGAGCAGCGAGCAGGCGGCGTTCCAGCTCTCCACAATCCACCAAACCCCGCTGCGCGTCGCCGGACCGCAGGCAACGAGGGGTCGACCTCACGCGGCCGTGGGACGTCTGTCCGCGATGCGACGGAGTGGAAGTCGGGCGGGGGGAGGGGGAGGAGGGGGGGGGGGCTCTCACCTATGCAGGTGCGTCCGTCAGGTCCCAGCTGCAGGCCGGTGGAGGGACACAGGCAGCGCACCTCCCCGCCCGTCTCCTCGCAGCCGTGCTGACAGCCGGCCATGCCGCACGTGCGCATGTCTGCGCAGGAGGGGGCGGCACGTGGGGGGGGGGGGGGGGCACACGGCCTGAGCGAGAACTCGCGCCACGACACCCACGCCAGCCCGTGGCACGTGCCGTGGCACCTGCTGTGGCGTGCTCTGTGTGGCGCCTTGCAGCGGAGCGGCGGTGGTGGTGGTGCGGTGATTGCGCTGTGCCGTGGACCCGCCGAGCAGAGTTCAATTCCCACTCGTGGACAACACCGGTGACGATTATCTGAACCGGTCCTGGGCCTCCAGAAGATTGACTCGGCCAAAAATTTTTCCTGTACCCGGTACGATATGTACATGTCGTCACTAGAGAGACAAAGGCGACCGGGCGTGGTGCTGGCCACCCACCCCCTCGTGTGCCGTGCCGGCCTTCATTAGGTGCTCGCTAACAGCACTTGCTCCAGCAGTCTGTTAAGGCGACACGGGAGATCTGTGTCTTTGCGTGCCTGCTGAGCGCGGGCATAGGGGTTAGCTGCGCTCTACACCTGGAAGCCTGAAATCGATTCCCGATCGCGGCTAATATCAGCAGCGATTTATGTGAAATGGTCCTAAGTCATGTAAATCATCAGCTCCGAGGAGAGAGAGGCAGCCGGGCCTGGTCCTGACCACACCACCTCCTGTGCCGCCCTTCACAGGGGCTCACTGCGAAACTCGTCCCGCCATAAACAGCTATATGGGGAACTTTGCCTGTGTAAGTGCTCACTTGCACAGCACTAACAGCATACTGTCCTTAACGTTAAATGAGCGAGCACTGTGTGAGCGTGAGTGGATTACAAGTGAAGTCATTAGAGATGAGTCTGTCTCGTGCCAGCGAGACTTTGGCTGTGCGTGTGGTCTCAAAGTAAACCTGACCTGGCACAACGCATGGCATGGCTGTCACCTAATGCGGCAAGGTGTTCAACATACATACATGTGTCGGGGTTAGTGTGAATAGTGCACGAACCACAACCACACAGCATCTCGAGTGACAGCAGACATTGACACATTAATGCAGCTAGGATAATAATACCCACAACACAGTCCCATCATAATGATCATAGGAGTGTAGTCATCGTTTCTAATTTTACAACGGTGTCACAATCATTATTACATGTATCATTGGTATCATTATAATAATTTGCCAACTTCTAATGAATGTATGTTGAACTTTTTGGCACCGTATGTAGCCCTACCGTGCTAATCGTAGGTGCGGGGGAAGGACAACAAACCTAACACAACAAAGCAGTTCTACAAAGGCAGATGCGCCTTCGATTAGCACGGTTGGCTATATACGGTGCAAAGAAGTTCAACATACATACTCAGGAAATTAGTTTTCAATTTAGTAATAACTATCATCACGGTTACCTTTGCAATAAGCAGCACTCTGTTATTCCACAGACTTTTAAAAAGTGCTTGGAGGTTTTGAAAGTTCACGGTGTCTATTTAGAGCAGTGGTGAGTGCAGCTGCATGTTCCTGGCACCGCACAAACCCTCGCCAATGGACAGAGAACAAACATCCAAACTTTTGCACGCTCTGTCAAAGCAACGAGATCCAATTGGGACATTTTGGCAAAAACAAAGCGGTGGTTATTTTTCATCTGATTCAAAACACTGCGTGTGCACCATAATTATACAAACGCGAGTGCGTTTTGGCAGCCGTGTTTTTAATGTAGGAACCACTCAAAGTGGGAATATTCATTCGGCTGCGTGCGTGAAATACATCTGTGGAGCCACACATTGGCCAACTCTCGCAGAGAGCACGTTGGACCATTATTAGCACGTGGCGAGCAGAAGAGCAGAAGGTCAAACATTACTTCCATAAGTTTGCAAAATAAACACCACTTGTAAAACAGGAGCGGCGTAGTCGGCCCTGTACAGCGCGAGGCTTAACAAAACTCAGCAGAGGGCAAATCAATCCCGCGGAGCTGTCAACAGCAGACGATCATGGCAGAGGGCACCCGAGTCCCAGGCGTTAGGCGGGAAAGCAGCTGCCAGTCACGTCTCGTGAACTCCGCTGACCACGACCGCCGGGAACATCTCCCGGCGTGGGCACGGCCACACGCCAGGAGTTGGCGGTGTCCGTCTGGAAAGCGGTCCGCGCGCTTATCGCTGAGACTCACGGAAAGGGTCCAAACGGTTTGCCCACTCGCCTCGCTTCAGAATTCTCCCACACTATGATTATAAGAACAAAAACTCAACACATTTATCAATAGCACTGCCTTAAATCCAATTATATATTTGATCGGTGACATTTCGGCAAACTGGCCTTCTTCGTAGCCACGTCGTGAGGTTAAATCTGCACAACATGCGACTGGCGGGGCGCTGCACTAAGTTGCTCACGTGATGCTGTGTCTTTAAAGCTTCTACCGTCACCATTCACGTCACCTTGCTGAGGGGGAGAAACAACGCAGGCCGAAAATTCCCATGTTTTCTTTCCAAAACTCGGTGGGTGTCTCTTAGCCAAATACAAATCTACAAATGTCGGGGGTGTCCAGACATCCGCGGGCATGCACAGCGGCAGTGAGAAGAGGCCCCGGGGAGTGTGGCGGGCGCTCTGGGGGTCATCGCTCCACCTCTGGGCCGAGCCTCCCCCTGCCAAATGTGTGTTTACCCCGGGGCTGAGATTGCCATGGGTAGTGCACGGCTCTCTCTCTCCCGTCACACGGGACCCTGCGAGGCATCACGTCCTGCCTCAGCTCGGCTTCTCAGGTCCATCGCCCTGATGACACTTAGCTGGTTCTGGTGCCTGCGGGCACGGCCACTGGAACTGGTTTTACATTTCGTTGTTTTTTGTTTTCTGTGAAATGTTGTTATTTTTTCCCCTCGCCGTGCGCACAGGATAGCTCTTGAGTAGCCACTGAACCACTCATCAAGTTGTTTGTGTTGTTGTTATTGTTGTTGTTGAAATGGAAACTTGGACGGGAACAGGTTGTGTCGGTGAAATGGGGATTGTTTTGTGAAAGAAGTAAAAAAAATGTACATTAAAAATGTTTTAGAAAGTGAGAACGAACATTAATACAGTATGAAGAGCATGACTTGAAGAATGTAATTATAAAATATTAAGCGTGGAATTTATCTCACTTGTACAACTTTCACCGTGATGACTGAACTGATAGGATGCCACTGTGGCGAGATGTTAACTCCCTTATTGCCTGGCGTGAAGGAGGTAGTGGGTTCGATTACGACTCTGACGCCTGGAAATTTTGAGTTTGTATGTCTCTCTCTCTCTCTCCCCGTGGTCGAGTGGATTTTTCTCTGGGTCCTCCGGCTTTTCCTTCCACATTTAGAATCAACATCTCGCGTTTATAGTATTTGGCCGCTATAAATTTCCACGTGATGATGATGATGAGCCACTTTGTTGAGATATCACTTGTGGTCAGGTCGCTTCTACGTAGCTCAGTGGGCCTGACCTGGGACAATAAAAACATATATATCTATTGTAAAAAAACTAATTCGTTTAGTGGAAATATAAAAAACGTCATTATCTAAGTGTTAACAAGATAATAAACCACATACTATACAATTAACAATTCACCTGCTTAGCGCTTAGCTCCCACGTTCCACCAGACAGAAACCCGCGGTGCTGGTGGCAGGCACGGAGTGGCTGATGTCACCACCCCTCAGTCAGGGCGCCCACCGAGAGTGTGAGGAGCCACGACCATCGTCCACAAGTGTGCGTCGCCTCTCCAGGGTGACCGCAGCATTCCATGCGGGGTGGCTTCCCCGTGTAGCCACTCAAACCTCCCCCCTCTAAGCCCTGTCCTTGCATCCTACGCGTCGCCATCATTAACATAGTTTTCACTTTTCGTTGGCAGTAAAGGTCAACCCTAACCAGGGCCAACTGGCCATACCGCGTCAGCTCCCCACCAGCCCCATTGGATCAGATGTGGGAGCAGTGGCTGGTCCAAGGGAGGGGGGCGATGGGGGTGATTGGTTGCCTTCTGAACACCCACCCCTGAGACCTGGAAAAATAATGTCTTAATGATATTTACCTGAGAAAATACATTGCATATTTGTATTATTGTTATCATTCATGTAGGGCCCTATTTAAAAATCCTGACATTTCAGGTGCATCGTCCCCTGGGCTTGGGAGCGTTTCTCGATCCCTCTGTGAGTTCTGTCCTCAGTGCTCTCACCAATGCCCGATTTTCACACCACGGCGGCGTCACACCTAAAAGCTGCACTTCTAGTTGGAGATCCCCACACTATACCCCACTGCAAGTGGTTCACCAAGCAGGCCACTGCAGTGAGCTACATTTACCATCGCGTTGATGGAGGGTGATGTCAGACTGAGAGAGATCGACAAACTTCTGGGGGGGGGGGGTGGTGGTGGGAGCCAGCTCCAAAATGTAATTCTCTTTAAACAGGGCCCTACTTTTATAATTACAAAAAGTGATTTATTGTCTTTGGAAATATCAATACAATTACAATATTTGGGGTCTCAAGGGGATAAATAACTCGATCACCCCCCCCCCTGCCCACCCCCTAGCAGAAGCGCATCTGAAGCGCATCGCGATGCGGTGACCACCGCCTTTGCTCGATGGCGAGACAAAATCCGCTGCTGCTGCTGCTACGAGGATGACCAGCGGAGTTCGCGTGATGGTGGGTCATGCTCCTTGACGAGATCAGCGAGGTGTTGTGGTTCATTTGTGGCAAGCACTTTGCGTTTAATGAGTGCGACCTTATAACGTATTCATGGGAATGTTTTTTCAGTATCAAAATATGAAAAATAACAATAGGTTTTACCCTTTCCGGCAACAAAGCAGGTGTTAAGATGTTCAAACACCGAATAGAAACCTTTTTGCAAGGAATCAAGTTCCTGCATGAACCACACGCACTTGTGGTGAACATGCAAACAAACTCTGACGACAGATGCACTGTCTTGATGTAGGCCAATCAGTTTCTTAGGTGTAGGCCAATCAGTGTTTTATTGTGAGAATGGGTAACGACCTATTCTTATGTTCGATATAACGTGTCCGTTCACTGATGTCAGATGAAGAAACTCGCCAAAGG